GTCAGATTCTCACTGGAAGAGGTGGTGATTTTCCTCTTAAACAAAGGAAGGGATTTGGAGCTATAGTGGATCTCAGTGTGAATTCAAAAATCATTTGTGTAGACAGGATTTTATTTTCATTTTTGTTCTTCATCCTACTGAACAGTAAAGTTATCCTTTGCTCATTATTAGCGTAGGACAGACAAGATTAGGATTAAATATGGGTTTTAACACTAGAACTCCTAAGGCCTTCATTTTGACGGTTCTGAGATTTTAAAGAGAAAGAACTAAATGATGTTGCTCGTGTTAATTGACTTTTTCTGTTTCTATATTTCCTTCATTTTCACATAGTTTTTTAAAATAAAATAAAAACGTAAAAAAATAAATATGGTAAATTTTACCTCGATCTCCTACAGCCGTCATTTTGACGGCTCTATTAGTTGCACTGTAAGTTCTTCCCCCGGTTGATTGACATTCGGTACCGTTGCCTAGCAACCAACACCCTACCTAGAACTCTTTGGCTAATATGGAAAAATGGCTTTCAGAAGAAATCTAACAGCGAAACAGGCTTTAGAAATGCTTTAAAATATGGATGAGAAGGAGAGACCGATGAGGAGAACTGGGTAGAAAGCGGCTCAGATTCTGACAGCGAGTCCGTGGATGATCAACCATCCCGGGAAAATGCAGACGAATCAGTGACCCATTAGACAATAGTAAAACTTTTGTTCAAGCACTGCCCACACCTCAGTCAGCCACACAGCATCCCTAAAGCCAAACCAGAGCCACGGTCCAGTCGATAAAGCTCACCTTTCTCACAGCGGTTCTTTGAAAATGGCAGAGGGTCTTAAGAGAAAAAGTGTCTGAGAAGAAAAGAAAGGCCTCAGAAGAGGCAGATATATCCCAGAATGCTTTGCGCAGATAGCTCTGCTCACAAAGCATGGGATTTGCTGTCACAGCGGCCCGCTGTCGACATAGGCTGTTTCTACCCAACAGCGGCGACTAATAACAAAGATGGCGCATGCACCGCGCAGTGGAGGAGGAGTTACGTGACCAACGAGGCAAAAAGCAGTGATCATCTGTCCAAACAGTCAGTTAACTGACAAAGTTTACTATATAGTCTCAGCTGTTGGTGGAAACGGTAAGCTTGTATGAGCTATGAGAACAGCACATCTTAACCCTTTAAAGCCCGATCCAAGAATAAACAAAACAGAAAATTACTTTTTTTTGGTTTGAATTTCTTATTTGGCCTTTTAACAAAATATGTAAAAAGAAAAAACAGAAATACATTTTTGATATTAATAATTTATTACTATGCGATAAGTCAAGATTATTTTTTGTGTAGTCTTCT